ATGCATGCCTGTGATCCCATCTACTTGGTAGGCTGAGGCAAGGGAGTTGCTTGAACCCAGGAGGAGGAAGTTGCAGTGAGCCAAGATTGCACCACTGCACTCCATTTGGGGCAACAGAGAGAGACTCTGTCTCCGAAAAAACCCAAAAAACAAAAAACATAAAAACAAAGCAAGTAAAAAAAAATATGGCATTAGCGTCACCCAAGACAAAACAAAAAAAGCCATCCCTGGAATTCTGAATTGAAGGTGGAAACAGATCAGAGTCTCTTTCTTAGTGGATACTGTCTGGTCTGTTTACCTTGTCAATTCAGACTTCTCAAAAAAATAGTTCATGGATACTTAATGAATTGAGGAATTACATGTGTTTTGGTTGTTTCCTTTTTGTTTTTAAAGTATGAAAATGGTATTACGGTCTATTTGCTTTACCATGATCAAATGGCAGGGAAGGTAAAGGCGGGTGGGAAACAAAATAAGACTGGCCATGACTTCATCATTGAAGTGAGTGATGGGTACATGGAGCTTTATCACAGCTTGTTCTCTACCTTTGGATCTGCTTAAACTTTTTTTTTTTTTTTTTTTTTTTTTGAGACAGGATCTCGCTCTGTTGCCCAAACTGTAGTGCAGTGTCACAGTCTTGGCTCACTGCAACCTCCCCCTCCTGGGTTCAAGCAATTCTCCTGCCTCAGCCTCCCAAAGCGCTGGAACTACAGGCATGCGTCACTATGCCCGGCTAATTTTTGTATTTTTGGTGGAGATGGGGGTTTTACCATGTTGGCCAGGCTGATCTTAAACTCCTGGCCTCAAGTGATCTACCTGCCTCGGCCTCCGAAGTGCTGGGATTACAGGCGTGGGCCATCGTGCCTGGCCCTGTTTAAACTTTTCTATAATAAAATTATTTTTTAAAAACAGCTTACACTGGCAATCTTGACTTTCTTACCTGTCAATCACTTCTAACCTACTGTAGTTTAATTTCTGCCCTGTATGCTCACTTAAGTCTCTGATGACCCTAACATGCACAACCTGTGGCATGCTTTTCAGGTTTTATTAGGAAACTTCGTACCTTTGGCCTTTTGGCAGGGCATTTTCTGGGTTACCCTGAATCTATATTGACCATTCCTGCTCTGACTACCCTTTTCCCCTGACCACCCTTTCAGCGATAGTATTCTACCCTTCCTATTCTGCTATGCTTCCTTGACACAGCTCTGGGTGCTCCCACCCGCTCTGATTCTACGTGCTGATATCAATAAAATGCATCCTCTGTCTCTGGACTCACCGCCTGCTGGCCATCTCCAGGTAAATTGCCCACAGAGGTCTCAAATGAAACACATGCAAAACAGAGAGCTCATAATCTTTTCCTTAGAGCAGCTCCCACCCTTACCTCTCTGTCATCTTTGGTTTATTTCCATTCTTCACTCCTTCTCCTTTCTTGAATCTGTCCCTTCTGTCATCTCTACTGTCTACATCCCTTGTGATACACCTACCTCAGGCCCTTATCCTCTTCTGTTTAAATGACAACAGCCTGCTAACTCTGGCTCTGGTCTTATGCTCAGCTCTCCGTCTTTCTGCCAGCCACCAGGCTAATCTCTCTAAAGCAACAATGTGACGCTGTTATTTAATAGCTTTGAATAATGGCTGAAATCCTTTACCCGCCCTATAAAAGCCTCCATCTTCTGTCCTTGCCTTCTCTCCAGATTCATTTCTTGGCTCTTCTGCTTTGCCTATCAAATTGTTACCCTGAGTACACTATTTATCATTCCTTTCTATCTTTGCCCATATTGGCCTGAAATGTGCCCTCTGTTGAATCCCCTCAATCTTGTCTGTGCACTGGCTCCGAATTCATTCTTTTTTTCTTTTTCTTTTTCTTTTTGAGATGGAGTTTTGCTCTTGTCACCCAGGCTGGAGTGTAATGGCACAATCTTGTTTCACTGCAACCTCCTCTGCCTCCTGGGTTCAAGCAATTCTCCTGCCTCAGCTTCCTGAGTAGCTGGATCACAGGCTGCGCCACCATGCTCGGCTAATTTTGCATCTGTAGTAGAGACAGTGTTTCATCATATTAGCCAGGCTGGTCTTGAACTCCTGACCTCTAGTGATCCACCTGCCTTGGCCTCCCAAAGTGCTGGGATTACAGGTGTGAGCCACCACGCCCTGCCTCCTAACTCATTCTTAAAGATGCATATATTAGAGTCCCCGACTCCAAGAGGCTTTCTCTGCTTCATCAGGCTGGGTGAAGTGTATCACTGCGTGTGTTCCCACAAGGCTGAGCATTTCTGCACTGTAGCATTTACCACATTGTATCGTCACTTGTTTCTCCTTATGTCTGTGAGCTTAGGAGGTGTTTTTTTCTTTTCTTTTTTTGACTACCTGTAACATCTGGCATAGAACCTACCTCATAGTAGGCCCTGAAAAAAATTTACCTGAATAAATAAATGAGTGCATTCTGTATGTGAATTTGGTTTTCTGTCATAGGCAACCAGAAACATTTTGTCTAATACCACAATCATAGGAAAAATAGACACTAATAAATCCAAAGGGGAACGTTTCTATCAACTCAGTGCTTCCAATCTCCTACGTTCCTGCAGTAAATTTTCCTGGATTGTGGTCCACTGATATGGTCCTCATTCATATAGAAAATCAAGATCAAGTGAGCTTTTGCCTAATTGTTTCTTTGATCAATTGGTTCTAGCAGATCCAGTTAAACCTCTCACAAAACGCCCTCACCATCGATTCCGGCCCTTGTCTCTTCCTCCCTCCACTCTGCTGGTGAATAGGAGGACTTCTCCCTTACAATTGATAATTTTTTGCTGCACTTTTAAATATTGTACCTCTTGGTTTTCTCTCAGTTGTTTTATTTTCTGTCCTAAATTTCCAGGATAAGTTTAATATGAAAAATAGCTTAAAGTTATTTAATCTTTCTCTGCGTCAGTTTGACAACCACAGATAAGGCTTGACTAGGTGATAATAATCGTCACGCTGTCTTGTTTTATCTGGGACATTTTAATGTTTACAATCTCATCTAATCTTCCCAATAATCTTTTGGGGAAGAAATTTTCTCTGAGATCTTGTCAATGCCTAATTCTGTTTCTGTATTTAGAAACAGGAGAAACATGTGTTTTAATATTTTCTAAGGAACGTGGACATTTATGTAGTAACCTGCAGAATTTTGATGATTAGGATGAGTAAGTAGATCAGGATAAAAGTCTTGAGACCTTTGAAAAATCATCTTAACCATGGGGCAAGAATAACTCAGTGAATGTTAGAAATAGAGCATGTGGAGCATCTGCTGTCTAAATAGAGCCATCACAACGATGCCCTGATTCTACCAATATTGTTGGTCTCTTTTCAAGTTAAATCTTCAAGTATTTTGCATTAATCAATGGTGGCAGTGAGGAGAGGCGTAAAGCATATTTAATTATCTAAAATCAAACTCACAGAAAAACAGGTCTTATTAATTCTGAAAATTGAGAAGAGTGCTGGATGTCCATGAAGCTCTGCCCCTGCAGAAGGTACATGCATACCACAAGTGATTACTAGCCAGGGACACTGAGAATATATTGGGGGCAGGGATGAGTTCCCTGGCCTGGAAGGAGCCCTGGGTGGGTGGGTCTGGATTTAGAAGGGTACATAGAAGCAGAAGCAAGTCTAGCCTGGAGTAGGCAACCTTCTCTGAGATGTGTTTTGCAGGCAACAAGGCAAATCTCCTGGCTCCTAAATCTTTCTCATTATTTGCCACAACTATTGAAATTCACTTTCAGTCTTCTTTTTATTTGGGTCTTGAAAGGTTTTCAGCCTAAGAGGCCCCTTTGGAAGAGGAATACCACAAACCATCATTGATGGGGATTAGGAGACATTCAGCGGGAATAGGGCTGGAACGAGATCTCCTGAACGTGGAAGGAGGAGGGCAGGCTGCTTCAGGGAGGAGGGAAAGAAGGGTCACAGGCGGCAACCACGGGACATGAACCCACTGCGCAAATCCGCTTAGAGCAGGCCTCAGGGAACAATGAGCCACAGTCTTGTCAAGAATTATAAGAAAAATTCCACAAAAGTTTCCTCTTTTGCTACAGTTTTTTTTTTTTTTTGAGTGGAGAGTTTCTTACTTTCTAAATTTGTGTTTTTATCTTTAATTTACTTGGAAACTGTGGGATTTGCTTCAGCAAATAAACTTCTCCCACATTCATACACTTCTCTAATATCAAATACATGATCAGACTTAATAAAATTATTCTAGAACTGTGCCTGATTTACTTCAGGCCTCAACTCATTTACTTAAGGCTCATGATACATAGGGGTGATTGCTGTGTTAAAACCACTAAACAGAGACCGACTTACATACTAAGCCCAGGTAGAAAAAATGTCAAAAAAAGGTACAAAGTTTAGAACAGTGATCTATCTGCTCATTTTCTAAATATTGGAGATAATTATTTTAATTAGTTAATTTTTTTTTGAGACAGAGTCTCCCTCTGTTGCCTAGGCTGGAGTGCAGTGGTGCAGTCTCAGCTCACTGCAACCTCCGCCTCCCAGGTTCAAGCAATTCTTCTGCCTCAGCCTCCTGAATAGTTGGGATTACAGGTGCCCACCACCACACCTGGCAATTTTTGTATTTTTAGTAGAAATGGGGTTTCACCATTTTGGCCAAGATGGTCTCAATCTCCTGACTTTATGGTCTGCCCGCCTCAGCCTCCCAAAGTGCTGAGATTACAGGTGTGAGCCACCATGCCTGCCCTTCATTTTAATTTTAATTAATTAACTATTTTTCTTGAGACAGGGGTTCACGCTGTTGCCCAGGCTGGAGTGGAGTGGCACAATCACAGCTCACTGAAGCCTTGAATCCCTGGGCTTAAGCAATCCTCCGACTATAGCCTCCCCAAGTAGCTCAGACTATGGGTACCATCACAGCTGGCTACTTTAAATTTTTTTTTTTTTTTTTTTTTTGGTAGAGACAACGTCTCACTATGTTGCTCAGGCTAGAAAATACTGGAGATTTTTTTTAAAACTGCACTTACCCCATCTGGACTGTTGACCCCAGAAATGAGGGAATGCAGTAGTCAGCAGCTGCCAATGTGTATGGTGGGCGAGCCGCAGAATCGTCCCAGTAAATGTCCTTCTTCATCTTGGGTAAGCTCATGTGCATTTCATCCACAGCTAAAAGAGAGACCTAAAATCATTGTTATATTGTTAGAATAACTCAGATGTAAATTAAATAAAAAGGAGAAGTTCCTGTGGGCAGACGAACATTAGAGTGAGCCAGGACACAGTCTAAGTGAGTGAATATACAAATGTCTATAGTTCACATCTGCCATGACCACAGCTGCCGCAGAGAGTTGTATCTGTCGTTTACTGCTCAAGAGCACTTGGCAGTGAGGGTAAATGGGGCTTAAAGCCTCCCACACTCTGGGATTAAGCCACGTGCTCCAGAGTGGAGCTGCCTCTTATCTGGAGGGAGAGGAGACATCTTTTTATTCTTTGCTCACAATTATGGTGTTGTTTTACCTGATAGCATCCGCTTAACCTCAAATATTACAGGAAGGTGAAGATTCCAGCTTTCATTCTGTTAACCCCGTAAACACATTTTTAGTTGACATCACTTCTTATATGCCCTGGTTTCTTATTCATTTCTTTGTTTGGAGAAACAAAGTCTATACTGCTTAGCGCTATGGTGATCTCTCCTCTTAGCTTTGACAAAGTAATGCATGAATAAATTATTAATCCTCTGGAATCCCATTTTGACAAAGTGAGTGACCTAGGCATTATGTGTTCTCCCTAAGAGACTGACATTGAGATCTACTGTGAGATGTTTGAACTTATGTAACAGCCGAGTAAGGGCTTGAAACAAATGAACAAGGTGAAGACCTTCACTCGTCTGCAGTTCATAGGGAAGAGAATGGTCTGAGGAGGGTCTTGCCTAAAAGGAAAATTCCTTCATGCTGATTCTTCATGAAAAGCTCTCTGGAATAGTGCATTTCATGCAGATTTGAGACACAGGCTGGCGTGGCTCAGGTTCCCAGTGTCCAGCTGTTGGCTATCTGACTGCTGGGATTGATGTGACTTTGGGAACTCCTACCAGATTGTGTCTAGATGCCATTTTAAGTCACTTTTAACCTCTCTGGTTTGCAATAGAAAACCAACTAAAGAACAATTGAAAATACTGCTCTATGCTGAGATGTAAGAGGCTGGAAAAAGCCAATAGAGAGACTTACAAAGAAAACTGGCTTGAAATTCTACTTAAAAGGAACTAAATTTCACTGGGGCTGAAATCCCAGATGTGTAAGCTTCCAAAAGGACCTGCGACAGCATAGTGTACAGCCAAGCCTCTTTCATTTGTGGCTAAAGCTCTGAAGCCAAGGGGTGTGCATCTAAAATCTGCTTAGAGTTGAAATATCACAAGTGATTTATTATTAATATTTGAAAAAGAAAGAAAAATTCCTCTAACCTGCAAATTTCTGTCAATGCACCAATTAGTTTCAAAATCATCATCATCTTCTCCAAAAGGGTTGATAAGCTGCTCAGCTACCTGTAGTTGAAAAGATAAAATAAACCCATCATGATGCCTCTGAAGACTAAGAATAGAGACTGAAGATGATTCCAGTTTTCCTCTCTGCTTCCTTTTGTGACTTTCAAAATATGAAGAGTAGAGGGGAGTAGATTGTTCTACCCAGATACTTATTAGCAAGCAAGACGTGATTCGCAAATCACCAATGATGCACCTTCACATGTATGCTCTCCAAAGGGATCTGAACATTCAACCAGCGGCAATGCAGGCCCTATCAGGGGAAGCCATGTCCTATTTAGGAGCCAAATCAAATGACTGAATAGTGAAGGAGCACCAACAATTTGCAAGGCACTCTGAAGGATACACAGGCTATGCTTCCAGGGAATTTACAGGGCTCAGATGATAAGACAAAATGTACACAGGGAGAAGGTTAAACAGCGAAGGAAGGCTTAAATCACAATTAAAGAAAATAATATAAGAGGCTTTCACTATTTATTTTATTTATTTATTTATTTATTTAGAGACTGTATCTTGCTCTGTTACCTAGGCTGGAGTGCAGTGGCACAATCTGGGCTCACTATAACCTGTGCCTCCCAGGTTCCAGCAATCTCCTGCCTCAGCCTCCTGAGTAGCTGGGACTACAGGCAAGCACCATCACGTCCAGATAATTTTTTATTTTTTTCAGTAGAGATGGGGTTTCACCATGTTGACCAGGCTGGTCTTGAACATCTGAGCTCAGGTATTCTGCCCTCCTCAGCCTCCCAAAGTGTTGGGATTACAGGTATGAGCCACTGTGCCTGGCCGAACTTTCAAATTACTGAACATAATTGCTAAGTAAATGAGTCAGAGAGCTAGTAAGTCCTAAAGCTGGAAATTGAGGCTTGCCTAGTTTTACCCTAAAGGATTTACCCTTATCTAGTAAGTTAGTTTTCCTGCCAGGAAAAGGTTAGGTAGCTATTATTACATATCTTTTAATATTTGATCAATATTATCTGTCCTTTCTTGCCTGGAGATTTGCATAGATTAATTAAGGGTACTGATTGAGTCCTGAAATCTTTTTGAATTCTATCTAGATTTTCATTTTTATACGATCAATCCTGCGTGTTTTATCATAGTCTGCATTAAACTGACAAAATGGCATGCATGTTTCTGAATTGACAATCTCAAAATATATCTTTTTCTTCACTGGGGGCTACATTTTCAGCAAGTAACTGAGTAATATACTATTCACAAGGTTAAGATGCTTTTCTACATGTTGAAAAGATTTATAAATATCCTAATTGTTGAGACAGAAAAGCTGTTTAGAAATGGAGGCACAGTCCACTGGTGTTTAGGTTTGCCTTTTTTTTTTTTTTTTTTTTGAGATGGAGTTTCGCTCTTGTTACCCAGGCTGGAGTGCAGTGGCGCAATCTCGGCTCACCGCAACCTCCACCTCCTGGGTTCAAGTGATTCTCCTGCCTCAGCCTCCTGAGTTGCTGGGATTACAGGCGACCACCTCAATGCCCTGCTAATTTTTTGTATTTTTAGTAGAGATGGGGTTTCATCATGTTGGCCAGGCTGGTCTTGAACTCCTGACCTCAGGTGATTCACCCACCTTGGCCTCCCAAGTGCTGGAATTACAGGCATGAACCACTGTGCCCAGCAAGTTTGCCTGTCTTTTAATGGAGCTAAGATTGTGCCTTTAAATATTTTGTCTTTTAAGATTTATTTTATTTTAGACAGGGTCTCATTCTGTTACCCAGCTGGAGTGCAGTGGTATGAATATGGCCCACTGCAGCCTTGGCCTCCTGGACTCAGGCGACCCTTCCACCTCATCCTCCCAGGTAGCCAGGACTGCAGGCATGCATCACCACACCTGGCTAAACTTTTGCATTTTTTTTGTAGAGATGGGATTTCACCATGTTGCCCAGGCTGGTCTTGGACTCCTGAGCGATCCTCCCACCTCAGCCTCCCAAAGTGCTGGGGTTACAGGCATGAGCCACCATGCCTGACTTAAAACATTTTATAAAGGGAAAAGGATGTTAATATTTTAGAAAGCATGTCAGAAGGAAGGAACCATTATCTGCTCTTTACAGGCTGGTCAAGCACCTTACATGAACACAAAATGAAGAATAAAAAGCTTGGTGCAACTCGGGAAAGGATGAAAAGTGCTTTTTGAGAATGATTGAGTATTTGGGCCACTGTGGTGATTTTATATTTATAAAGCTAATGTCTACTTTTTCCTCTAATGGGAAATGAAAGTCATTAGTCTCTTGTGATTTCTTGCTCTTAAGCAGGTAGAAATCATTAAGAATCATGGTAATATGATTAAACATGCTTCCATTTGTAAGGGACATGCCTTTACTCTTTGGAGTATAATTTGAAATGTCAACATATTATTTTTCTTGGTTAAGATTCAAATCAATGACAGGAAAGACTTCTGCAGGGAAAATTTCACTGGAACCTGAAGATATCATCAGGGCTTGACAACATATGGCTTTTTGGAAGGCCAAACATTCGAAAATTCTACTCTATTTATTTATGTATTTATTTAGAGACAGAGTTTCACTTTGTCACTCAGGCTAGAGTGCAGTGGCGCGATCTCAACTCATTGCAACCTCTGCCTCCCTGGTTCAAGCAATTCTCCTGCCTCAGCCTCCTGAGTAGCTGGGATTACAAGCACGCACCACCACACCTGGCTAATTTTTGTATTTTTAGTAAAGCTGGGGTTTCACCATGTTGGTCAGGCTGGTCTCGAACTCCTGACCTCATGATCTGCCCGCTTGGCCTCCCAAAGTGCTGGGTTTACAGGCATGAGCTACCGTGCCCGGCCAAAAATTCTATTTTATGAACATCATCTTCATACCATAATCACATTTCAATGAACTTTAATGAAGCCATTGTCATTGCTTTTTTTCTATTACATACTTTCCATTTGGAAGTTTATAGAGGTGATGGAAGAATCAGGTCTCTGATATTTACACACATACATTTGAGGAGGTGGTGGTGAAGGGAGGGGGAGCAAGAAGAATTCTACACAGAAAATTAAACAAGCCATTCTCACAGCCTGATCCTGTTTAATTTCCTAGCAAACCATGTTGTCATTATTTCTGGTGTTTCTGATTTTGATTCTGATGAATTCTTTTCTGAGTCTCAGTTCTGGTTTTAAAAATGGGGTTCATTTAATGTTGTGGGACAGCTAGTAGAATTTCAGGGAATTGTAATAACGATCCATCGAGTTGAGCAGAACCAAGATTCTACTACAATATTAATGGTTAAGTTTGATTTACAAGGCTTCTTGTTTACTCCTTTACTCTGCTTAGTTGCTTGTTGTGGTATATAATATCAATGCAGGTACACTTATTACTTTAGTAATTACAATAATGTAATCCTAATGGGAATAGACAGAGACTTAAAAGAGAATCAATAGCCATAAAAGAGTGTTCTTCTAATCTCTTTGCACAAGTGAGCTGCTTCAGACAGGACTGATTCTATCCCTGTCACTTGAATCCCTGGCAGAAAAGTGATAACATTGCGGAGCTATTACATGTTAAATCTACCTTTGACTCACTCGTGAGTGATTTGCTAAAGACTCAGTAAAGGATCCGTGTGGAGAGTCTGGAGCATAACAGATAACAAAGTGGGCCCCTGAGACCATTGGCTACCTTGAGCCATCCTGCATAGAAGAAGAATTGTAGGAGGGTGAAGATTGGAATGTAAAGATCCAAGTCATGCCCTGCGTAGCCTTTGGTGGGATCCAAAAACTGGCGTCCAATCAGGCACGTAAAGAAGAAGGTATAGACAGCAAGAGTGACAACCTGGAACAGAGAGAGACTGGAGTGAGGGACAGTGCTGGCCTCCCACAGTGAAGCTACAGTCCCAAGGTGGGCGAGTAGAGATAAAGAATTGCGTGCAAAGTATTTCTTACCTGGGTGTAAACCAGTGGAATCCCAACCCAGTCATAACCGAATAAGAGGCTGCACCAAGAGCGGAATCGATTCATTTCCTAAGCCAGAAACAGATCTAACATGATTTACTAAGATGACAGGTGTGGTAATAAGTATTTACTGGGATTCAGAATGTGAGCATGTCTTTTATGAATATGTCTGTAAAACAGCGGGACTGACTGTAAGTCTAGTAAATTGGTTCCCAAGGATACTCCAAAAGGAAAGTTCCAAAAATGACAATCAATCAATAAATATCACTGGAACAATGTGTTCATTGATGAGTATATTTGGACATTAAAAAACATTAAAATAAGTAGTGGCCAGGTGCAGTGGCTCATGCCTATATTCCCAGCACTTTGGGAGGCTGAGGCAGGAGGATCACTTGAGCCCAGGAGTTTGAGATAAGCCTGGGCAACATAGACATTGTTTCTACAAAAAATAAATAAATTATCTGGGCTTGGTGGTATGCACCTGTAGTCCCAGTTACTCCGGAGGCTGAGATGGGAGGGTCACTTGAGCACAAGAGGTCAAGGCTGCAGTAAGCCATGATCGTGCCACTGTGCTGCATGTAGCCTGGACAGAATAACACTCTATTTCCAAAAGAAAAAAGGACTTCATAAAAGTATCCCTCTCTACCATTCTATTGAACCTACAATTTTCAACATATATGTTGGCCCAAAGTCATGATGATAAGGAAATGGCATTTTAAATAAGTAATTTTTTGTCAATTTTGGTAGATAATCTGGAAAGCATTTTTTTTTGTTTCTCTCATTTTAAAACATGCTTATTATAGATCTTAGAAAAGAGATATAATTATACCTGTTTCCTCCCATGAATGGAGACTTTATAACACTCATATTGATAGAAAATCTATCTCTGAAGCAGGAAGGGCAGGATTCTTTGATTTTTAAAAATCTATTTCATACAAGTTATTATGTAAGACTAGGGAAAAGAGTTCACATTAATCTGGGTGCTATTTTTAAATAATTCATTCCTGTTAGCCTAATCCAGGCAGGGGACTGTCATGGCACAAATATATCCAGCCCTTACATAAATTTGTTTTTTTTTTTTTTTTTCCCCAGATGAATTCAGGGTCATTTTGTTTAATGAAAATACTATTTTACTTACTAGAGTATCTAAAAAGCTGGGTTAATCTTGCGATATTCCAGTTTTGGGGAAATGGCTGGAGGGGTTTTTTTCTTCTCCAGAATTTACTCTATGATCCTGGATCCAGGGATGGCAAATATGCCACATGGGCACCGTAGCCTTCTGAGCCTTTGGTGACCCTTAGCTAATCAATCAAGGAATACTTTCTTACAGAGCCTATTAGAAAGCATGATTTTGTTTAAAATGTAGCATCCAAGCAACCATTTCCAAGCAGCCTGAGTTTAACCTGTGTCCCACCTCTGTCCTGCATGCTGAGGGTTCTGACACTGGTCCAATCTTTCCGGTTCCTTTGGAACCAGGACTGAACTAAGCTGACTCTTCCTGGTCTAACGTGCTATATCCAGGTCCCTCTTGGTCTCTAATTAGCATCTTTTTCTTATGGTTTATGATATACTTACAGTCATCAATGATTGCAGATCAACACTGTCTCTGATTCTACCTTCATTCCGGGCTTTAGTTGCAAGATTTCCAAACCAGATGAATGGAACCCAATATTTCAGATGAGGAGATTTGAGGTGGTTGAATAATTTCCTTTCATCTGCTGTCATAAAACCTTTACAAAAAAAAAATAAACATGGGTAGTTATACATACTTAGTTTGGCACTAATATGTTGCCGTATTTCAGCATCTATATAAGCATATAATGAGGGGATATTAAAGAAATATGGACTAAAGTTTCCTGTCTCAAGCAGTTTATACGTGCCTTAGAGTTAAGGAATGTGTGTGTGTGCGTGCATATGCATACACACATACGTATGCATGCACAGCCACAAGTTATGTAAAATCCCTGATAGCGGAGGCCAGTAGGGAGTAGGGAGACATTAAATGTGAACTAGAACATTTGGGGACATTTCTTCTTTAGGTTTTGGTTTAGTCATTTAAAATTGGGAACCATAGTACTTAGAATTGTTATGATTAAAATATAAAATATGATAGTGTATACAAAGCACCCGGCATAGTGCTGAACACATGATTTACATGATTTCTCCTGATCTCTCCTTTCCAAGTCCTACTTAATCATGTCCTCCTCTGTGAAGGCTTCCTTGAGTCCTTCCTTCTCTTTCCTGGGGGATTTCTTCCCTTTAAATTTCCCACGTGGTATCACTCTTGGCTTGCATCATAGTAATATCACACATAAATGTTTCCCTCACTATGACCCTTTTGAAGGGCAAAGAGTATGGATTAATCTTCATAGTCCGCATACCATTTTGCACATATTTTAGAAGTGTTTCTTTGTGGCCAGTCACGGTGGCTCATGCCTGTAATCCCAGCACTTTGGGAGGCTGAAATGGGTGGATCACTTGAGATCAGTAGCTCAAGACCAGCCTGGCCAACATGGTGAAACTTTGTCTCTACTAAAATACAAAAATTAGCTGGGCCTGGTGGCGCACGCCTGTAATCCCAGCTACTGGGGAGACTCAGGCACAAAAATTGCTTGAACCTAGGAGGCAGAGGTTGCAGGGAGTTGAGATTGTGCCACTGCACTCCAGCCTGGGCGACAGAGTGAGACTTTCTCCAGAAAAAGGGTATGTGTGTGTGCATGTGTGTATGCATGCACGAATGTGTGTGTATAAAATGCAATCTGCTTGAGCTTGCAGTGAGCTCTCTGAGCCTCAGTTTTCTCATCTGTAAAAGAGAGTTAATACTTGCTTCACAGAGATGTTGTAGAATTACCTGAGATGATGTACATATGTCAATACATTATTTAGCATAATGCGTAGCACACCCTTAGCACCCGCAAAAGCACTAAGGCAGATTATGTGAAACTTTAGTTATCCTCTGACTGCTCCTCCCTCCCCAAACACCAAGGGAAGAGGAGATTGAATGACTGAATTGTAGAAGAGGAATAAGGTAACAGGTTTATTTAATCAACAAACATTTATTGAATGCTACTATATACCAGGGTTTGCTTGCATAAACATGCACTTTAAAACTTAGAGTTTACAGTTGATCTTTTATTTTTAAAAATTTTGATTGAATAATTCAAATGGTAAAAAAGTCCCAAAGGGCCAAAGGACTATTAGTGGAGAAAGTCTCCTTTTCCCAGCCACCTAGTTTCCCTTCCTGGAGGAAATCACGATGATCTATTTATTGTGTATCTTTCCAGAGAAATCTCATAGATTTTCATACAGACCTATTTTTAAAAACACAAAATGGCTTTATACTACTTATGTATCTGCCATTGGTTTCTATTTTTCAGATATATCTTGAAGATTAAAAAAATTAATATAGAGAGAGCAGCAGCATTCTTTTTAATGTCTGCTCTCTATAAATTAACATTAATTTATAGTTAACTATATATAATGTTTTGTTCAGCGAGTTTCCTTTTGAATAGACATTTTAAGACATTTAAGTTTTTTATTATTTTGCTGCTTAAAAATAATGCTGCTATGACTCTCATGGTATCTACTCCCTTGGCTATTTATTTTAAGTAGTTTTTAAATGTTAATTATAATTTAACATAGTGTTTTCTGAATTAAAGCTCATTTCTAAAACTGATTTTTATTAGATACTAATTTTTGAGGTTTTTTTTTTTCCTCAAAAATGCAATTATTTGCTTATGGAATTCTGATACTGATACTACATGCAGATGAAAATCAGCTTTTGCCCTAATATCACACATTTTCTAACTTTAACCATTTGTAATCAGTTAACAAATCTGGTTGTCGTATTTAAGATAATCCTTTTGCCAAGTACAGTGGCTCATGCTTATAATCGCAGCACTTTGGGAGGCCTAGGCAGGAGGGGTACTTACTTAGGCCAGGAGTTTGTGACCAGCCTGGGCAAAATCACAAGACTTCATCTCTAATAAATAAATAAAGTAATCCTCCCTCCTTATGATGCAGGCCAAATTTTATTTAAGAGGTAGTGTTACAATAAAAAAAGTCAAAGGAGAAGTGAAGTGTGCCCATTTTGAGAGTCATCAATTCATAGAGCTTTGGCATTACCCAGATCTTTGAGGTGACCTAGGCCATTGTTTTTAAGAATACGATCCAAAGGCCATAGGTCTGAATCACTTGTGACATCTTAAATATGGAGAGGCCTGGACCCCAACCCTGACTACTAAATCAGACTCAGTAGGGTAGGAGTTCAACCCAGGTTTGCACCTCAGAATCTCATGTGGGTACTTTTAGGAAATACCAATGCCTGGGTCATATCCTTAGATATTCTGATTCAATTGATCTAGGATGAGGTCAGGCATCAGCATTCTTTTTAATCTTTCTAGCTGATTTAATAGAATTGGGTCTAGGTATTTGCATGTTTACCAAGCTGTGCAGAAAATTCTGACATACAGTGGTGTTTGAAAATCACTGTCCCACTAACTGAAGGTTGTTTATTCAGGATTTAAAATAAACAAAGTAAAAATTACAAAGCTAATATTTATCAACAGGAGACTAGTTTTAGATAACACTCGGGTTGTGTATACCAGCTTAGAAGAGTTCTCTCCGTGCCTGAAGAATGCTACTCTCCCTGGAAGTAAAAAATAAAAATGATCTGGGTAATTCCCTTCTTGTTTCTTGGTGCGTCTGAGAGTTGTTGCATGATCTAAAAAAATCTGCTTTTGTTTTTTAAAGAATTGCAGAGCATGATTAAATTAAAAAATTTTTTAATGGGACAGAATATCTCTCTGTCATCCAGACTGGACTCCAGTGGTGTGATCTTTGGCTCACTGCAGCCTCAACCTCCCGGGCTCAAGCAATCCTTCCACCTCTGCCTCCTGAGCAGCTGGGTCTACAGGCACACGCCACTATACCTGGCTAAGTTTTATATTTTTTGTAGAGATTGGGTTTCACCCTGTTGCCCAGGCTGGTCTTGAACTTCCTGGGCTCAAGTGATCTGCCCGCCTTAGCCTCCCAAAGTGCTGGGATTATAGCAATGTGCCACTGTGCCTGGCCAGTGAAATCTTATTGGATGAAGTTAACAGATAAACTTGATCTGTCTTGGCTTTATGCTTAAAGACTTCCTGTAGCCTATTCTCACATATCCCATATCAATTGTTTAACAGTTATATTCTTGAGACCTATAGTGTAATTTTTTAAAATGATCTCATTTATACATTAGCTGTAATCTCTGTCATTTGACCAAAGAATAACTTTATCTCTGGCTATTTTTTATTCAGAAGTATGGATCAAATTGTGCTAGCACATCCTTCCTTAGCTTCTAAGTAGAAAGCAAATATGCAGAGTGAGGGTTTATTTGGTGCAAACACTAATGCAAGAGATTGAAAGATGAGTAGGGCAAGAAGAGCTGGTGATTTTGTTTTCAGTCCAAATTTATTGCATATTTTGCTAGGTATTGTGAAAGATGAATGATGATCACTGAGACATTAATATATCCTCTAAGAATATATAAGCAGAATAATTTTTGTTATTCCTTGCAGGGTCACACTTATTTATCCAGAGTATAAAAGGAAAATATTTTGGGTTCCCCAAATCACTAAGCTAAAGGGAAAAGTCAAGCCGGGAACTCCTTATGGCAAACCTGCCTCTCACTCTATTCAAGTAATTATTCTGCTCACTGAGATAAATGCGTATCTGATTGCCTCCTTTGGAGAGGCTAATTAGAAACCCAAAAGAATGCAACCATTCATCTTTTAGCTAGCTGTGACCTGGAAGCTCCTTCCCCACTTTGAGTTGTCCTGCTTTTCCAGGCTGAACCAATGTTTATCTTACATACATTGATTGATGTCTCATGTCTTTCTAAAATGTATAAAATCAAACTGTTTTGACCACTTTGGGCACATGTCATCAGGACCACCTGAGGTTGTGTCATGGGTGCACATCCTCAACCTTAGCAAAATAAACTTTCTAAATTAACTGAGACCTGTCTCAGATTTTCGGGGTTCACAAAAGTAACTCTGCCTTTGGAAATCAAAGTTGTTGGTCAACTGAAAGAAAATCTCTAGATTGTTGGTCAAGTCCATTCCAAAAGTATTTGTTATGAAATGCAATGTCACCCTTATCGGGGCTTCAAGCCATTTTACCCAGAGACCAATAGTGTTTTTCAGAATATAATTGTTATTGTCATTGCTGAGGCTGTGCTAATTACAGTTACTAATTTGCTACAGTTTAGCAACATTCTCAGTGTTCTGGTCCTCCCACCACTTGGTCCCCTGCACCTGTCTGTCTCCATGCCATGCTCCCCTCAGGCCCCATCACACCCCTGGTATAGCTATTTTATTCTGCCGTTGCATCTGCCTAAGTTTCTCTTGCGATTGCTTTTCCTTCTGGCTGGCTCAGCTCTGCTCAGCAATTTTCATATTGCTTATCCCCAAAACCCTCCTTCATCTTTCTAATCAGAGTAAAATCTATCTCTCAATATAGATACATGTTTGCACATGTTTGCATTTATTCCCAGTTGAGTTGTGGTTTGATGGAGCAGGATCTGCTACTTTAGGACAAAATTCTATTGCCCTCAAGCCAAAGGATTAATTACATCCATTGACAGACAAAATTCTAGTCATCATGGATTCTGCCTGCTGTATAGTTGGTCTATTTTTCCTTGATTGAAGTTGAGGCAGATGTCTTTTGCCTTTCAAGCAGAGTATTCAAACGAGGCTCTATTAGCAGAGGAACTAAAAGCTCTGCATCTCAAAATTTGAAGGCAGAGTGGATTTGATGCCAGTTTTTTCTGAAAGAGAAAGTTGTGCATTCAGCATGTGAGCCCTTCTTCAAGGGATGACACTTTTTCAGGAGGAGTAAAATGTGCCTGGCTAGTTTTCTCTCTGTATTTTCCAAATGAATGGAATGAAGCCACCAGCTTCAGCTATAGCTGTCCTTTCCATTCAATGGAAGAGGTTTAGAAATCCCTGTTAATTGGGAAAATCAAGGGGGGAGCAGAATGAGATTGAGAAAGGGCTGAAATCACATTGTGACAGCATCATGCAGGGCAGTATGCCAACCAGCTTTTTTGTCCACCATGAATGTAATAAGATATATGTTGTTCATAAAACAGTTATTGGCCCTACCGCATGAGGTGCTTTCTGCTATTTGATTCGATTTGATTCTAGTGTTCTCAATTCCATTTCACCAAAAATGCTGGTTATAAGCCATTAACCTGATTTAAGAATCCCATAATGAGTTACAAACCACAGCTGGAAGAGCCTAAAATAGGATACGGTGTAGTAAAATCAGTTTCTGGGAGTAGCAATAAGGAACAGAGACAGACACTCCTCTACTGATATGAGGAAATCTCTAGTTACCTGTATCTTTGTCCCTAAATTAGTACCCCATTTGGTAATTCACTGCCTTCTCCATAATCACACACAAGAAATAACATACAAAGAAATCAGTGCTTTTAAATCCTCATCTGCAAATTGGCCCAGAATTTTATTTGCCCTGGGTGAAATAGATCTGAGGCAATTTGCGGATGAAATAGGAGGAATTAATTGATGTGTGCTAGTGCAGCTGTTCCTAGACTTTGCTGTACATTAGAATGGTCTGGGGAGTTTTGAAAAATGCTGATGCCCAGGTTGCTCCACATACCTAATGAATCCTAATGTCTGAGAATGGGAGTGAGACATCAGAATTTTTAAAAGATCGCCAGAGATTCCAACATGCAGCAAAGCTGAGGTTGAACAACTGCCCTAGTGCTGATCATTTCAGCATTCTCAGTCTGGGCCAAACATCCTGCGGTGCTTCTAGGGAGCCTATTTAAAAATGTCGATTTCTAGGTCCTAAGCCCTAGAGATTCTGATTCCCCAGGTTGCCTAGGACCCTGCAGTTTAAATAAGCACCCTTGCTAATTCAGTGAATGTGGTGCAACCTTACTTTGAGAAACATTGAGTGGATAGCCCTTGTTTAACTCCTAAAACAGAAATGTGGGGGAACCTTCAAACACTGACCAATCGAGACTGCCTATCCATGCTATTAATTCAAGGAGGGATAGTTCTGCATGCACTTTCTCTCCTGTGCAGAGCAAGTACGCATAGGTGAGTCAAGTTTCACTCACAGGATGACATTCTGTCTGTTCTGGGCTCATCATGTGAGACTACAGGGGTGACTGACTCAGCCTCTAAAAGTTCAGCCAATAGAGGAAAAACTGGCACAGCTATGAATACCACTGTCCCCTTGGCTCTCACTCTTGTAACAAGGCGGTGGAGATTCAGAGGCCGAGGAGCCCCAGAGCCGCGGAATGCATCAAGAAAAACAACAGCCCACCCAGGCCAGAAATGTTATACCAGATTCAATTAATTTTGTGAATGTTTCATAAAATGTTATACAAAAGTCATTTTAGTTTACCTAGTGAGAGAAGAGAAGATCACAGATTAAATGATCTATTTGTGCCAGAAACACAAATGTGGTTCTAACAGTATTAATTCCATGTTAGAGAAAAGCTTGCTTGTTTGAATAATATTATGGTTTTACTTGAGTTTGTAGATTAGTCCCAAGAAACAGCCTCAAAAAAAAAAAAAAAAAGACCTTCAACAGAGATAAAAGAAAATATACTGGCTGGGCGTGGTGGCTCACAACTGTAATCCTAGCACTTTGGGAGGCCAAGGCGGGGGTCACTTGAGGCCAGGAGTTTGAGACCAGCCTGGCTAACATAGTGAAACTGTCTAAACTAAATATACAAAATATTAGCCAGGTGTGGTGGCGTGCGCCTGTAATCCCAGATACATGGGAGGCTGAGGCAGGAGAGTCACTTGAACTGGAGAGGTGGAGGTTGCAGAGAGCCAAGACTGTAACACTGCACTCCAGCCTGGGCAACAGAGCAACATTCTGTCTCAAAAAAAAAAAAAAGAAGGAAAGAAAATACACTGACCAACAGCCCTGGAATGGGCTGACCATGGGAATGGGCTGACCATCCTGTAAGAATAGGCTGATGGCGCCTGCAAAAGGTCATAAAATGTTCACCAAGAAAGCAATGATTAACTGCCCACTTGAATGAAACTGCTCACATTTAACAAGACTGTTTTGATCTTCATTTCTCTTAATTTCCCTTCAAAACCCCTGACCTAGAGGCAGAATTCTGAAAGGTGGCCTTTGAACCCGAGTTCACTGCCTTTCCCGGGTTGTTGACTTCTCGAATAAAGCTAACTTTCCTTTCACCAAAGCTCTTGAGTTGTTTGGCTTTTAAGCCCTAAGTGGCCCAAACCTGAGTTCCATTTACAGGGCTAGCCACATAGCCAGAGCATCTCAAGTTAGAACTTTTATCTCAACATTCATTGACAACTGGTGGCTTGCTTGGCTATATTAATGTCTGTTAACCAGAAGTATCACTAAAAATTCCAGTGGAGTCTCATCAGGCTCCCTCTAGTCATGGAAGATAGTTAAGAAACTTTACATTAAGATTCCAGGGCAGGCCAGGTGTGGTGGCTCATACCAAAAATCCCAGCCCTTTGGGAGGCCATGATGGGAGGGTCACTTCAGGCCAGGAGTTCAAGACCAGCCTGAGCAATATAATGAGACTGTATCCAAAAATAAATAAAGAATAAGAGAATAAAAATAAATAAATAAATAAATTGGCAGGCACAGTGGTACACATCTGTAGTCCTAGTTACTCAAAAGACTGAGGCAGGGTGATGGCTTGAGCCCAGAAGTCTAAGGTTACAGTAAGCTATGACCATGCTACTGCACTCCAGCTTGGGCAACTGAGTGAGAACCTGTCTCTAAAAAAATGTAAAAAAGAAAAGACTCCAAGGCTTTAAGAAAATTAAAGGATATTTTTTTCCTCAGAGTTTACTGTCTTATAACTACTCTTATGAACTCCTAAATACAGACAGAAACTATTTATGTTAGAGAATTGCAATGCAGAGATGTTAAGTTTAACTGTAAACATATTTGTGCTTGTTTATGACAATGATTAATGTAAGATAAGATTTGTAGTAACTTTCATTGATCCTTGAGGATGGGGACCATATTTATTCTTGCTTATAAGGGTAATTCCCGGTACCTGGCACAGTGCCTGTCATATATTTTTGCATGAGCAAAAATGTAATAGATTTAGCATCAGCTTGGTCATGTTTCTTTAAGAGGACCTTATATAATTTCCTATTACCTATCATTGTGCTTCTGGTAAGTAGTTTTGAAGATAACTACTTTTCTTTCCTAATGCCTACAAAACACTAGATGTTTTGATTGAGTATGAGACCATACTATAAGCACGCAACTAAGGTCATCACTTGAATCAGCCAAGATCTGGAATTGTGCATCTGACTTGACTTGGAATCAGTGACATCTCCCAGGGCAAGTGATTGGAATGACTAGAATTTTCCAGAACAGATTTGTAGCCAATAGGCAAAAGTAACAGAGACTGTTGCAGTTTCTCTGATAAATAACTCACAGACCAGTTCAGGGACTTTTCAGCATAATAGACATTATTATATCTATTATATAAAAAACACAGCTCCTCCACCTCCAGCCAAGGAATTGCCAGATGCTTTGGAAGGAGGTGCTGTCCCTCTAGCTTACTGCCTTCTGGCCAGCACTGAATCTATGCAGGCAAAAACCCTCGCAGAAGAAAGAGAAGTTGGAGGGAAGCAATTGCCTCAAAGCCAGGGAGTTGATTCTCAGAGTGCAAGCCAGGGATCCCTAGCCTCAGAGTCTGTACACACACTGATTCCTGAAGCCCATGCCAGGCCTACTGAGTCAGAATCTCTGGGGGTGGTATCGTGGGATCCAAATTTTTAGCAATATTGATTTTAACGATATCTAATGCACCTTGAAGTTTGAGGACATGTACTTTTTCCTTACAGGTGATTTTATGTAGAGGGTTCAACTGACAAGAATGTCCTTCATGCCCTTACCATTGTCCCCACCCTGTTGGGGCCCCCAGTGCTTTACTTACCAGTCCTCTCTGCCCTCAGGCAGGAGCAGGTGCCCTGGCTTTGGACTCAGGGGATCTGCCAAACATTTTCCGCTGTCCCTGAACTTCCTGTTCTTCCCAGAAACCTTGGCATAGGCAAAGGACAGTCAGGGAATGGCACAGGCATATGCCCAGTTGGAATAACTTGGAAGCAGACCCCATGTGCAGACTCTGAGTCAGCCCTCTCTACTGGGGAAAGGAGCAGGAAGTGCAGTGAGTCAGCGCTGCCAGTGACAGAGGGTGCCGGCCTGGGGCAGCCAGGAAGACAGGCCTCTGAAGCGTCTCTCCTGGCTTAGAGGATAGTGGCTTGGAGCCTTTGCCCTGCTGCCTAACACACAAACCCTATATTTCTGTGGGCACAAGCTCTACCTACCACTCCTTTTCTGCCTTTTGAGAAAACTCTTAGGAATTAATGAGAGCAAATGGGACCTTTTCACTGAGATAATCAGTGATTGTGTCATAGGACTCTTGGAAAGGCTTTCACCTCATCATAGCTCCTCCATCAGTTCTCTTCTCCCTTCATCCACTTCAAACCAACCAACCAAAAAGTTTAAGAACAAAGCTTGTTATGTCCAAGCAGGTTGAATTCAATCCCCTATATAGCAGCCTCCCACCAGACTGCTTCGTCAAAGCTCTTCTTTGTAATTCGGGAACCTCAAGCTGAAGCCTCGAATCTACCCTTTCCTAATTGATGCTGATTTGCTATCAGTAATGAGTTGGCGGTTGCCAAAGCCCTTTGTCCCAGGAGTGAGAAAAAGGGTTTAAAAAATAAGCATCCCAGAAAAGACGCAGTACTTCTCAAAGCTTGGGATATTAAAAAAACCAGCACAAGAGCATGTTTCACTGCAGATTCCTAGGCATTACATCCAAAGGTTTCTGTTAGGTTCTATAATAATTCAGTGGGCCTGAAGTGGGTGGGACACAGGAACATACATTTTAAATAAGTAAACTCAATTTATTCAAGATGTAGAGGGCCTGTGGTTCTGTGGATCATACCTAGAGACATTAGTTTAAATGTACATCCAGGAGTGAAGGACTCATTTTGAGATTCCCTTGGAATGGTAGACATATTGGTGGTGGAAGAGATAGAAGTATTCCAGTATTTCACACGCCTCCGAAAGGGAAAAGTCTGAATGCGAGTACATGGCAGACATCTGTACAGGTTTGAGAGGGAGTGGGCCTGGGTGTTCTGAAAAATACGTCCAAAGGAAATGAAATCACATCATTTTCTTATTGGCCTCCCTTTATCTACTCACACCTCAGACCTGAGCGCAGCTCAGTCCTCTGAGCTCATGTCTGACCAGAGGCCCCAGAGGCCTCTCCATTGCCAGCCAACCTGGCTTCTTCCCGGCATGCTTTTAATGTGAAGGTGACTCTAAGAAGATGAGATTTGCTTTGAGGATTGGACCTGGCATCTCATTCCTGTCAGAATGCACTCTCTTCATTTCAAGGATACGTCAGAACTAGAGAAATATCACCTCTGTTCATCCAAGTAAACTTTAGCTCATCAACTTGGAATGGGTCATACGTTTCTTGTTTGTTTTTAGGTCTTTCTTAGAGGTGGTAATTCTTAATATAGTTGATCCTGGTGACATTAAGATAATTAGGTTGTCTAGTAGTACTTTTTAACTAGGTCATTCTGAAACAGTATTCTACTTTCATATTTGGAGGTAGGGTAGCAATTAATTTTTTTAAAGTTTCTACCGATTTTACATTATCATATATCTGTGCATTTGCCAGGTCTTCAGACCCTCCCCCTGAATCCTTAGCCAACTCCCGGAACCCATTACTTTCTTACATCTCACTCGGTATCTCCAACAGTATCATCTACACCCCTTCTTCCTTATTCCCACCTTGACATTCACAACCTCTTGATCAAAGTAGATCAAAAAGACCTGGGATACTATATTAATAACAAATCTTCTAAAGTGGCTAGAGTGCTATGTTATGCTGTTGTTCGAGATATAATTTCATTACAATGGCAAGAAATCATGCAGCACTTACACTTACTGTGTGCCAGGAATGTTCCAAACACTTTGTAAATACTAACTTGTTTAATACTTATAACAAGCCTATGGATATATGAGGTAGGTGCTATTGTAAGTTACTATAAGTCTATTTTATGGATGAGGAAACTGAGGAATAGAATGGTTAACTAACTCAGACAAGGTCATATAGCTAGTAAGTTGTGCAGTCAGGCTTCAAACCCTTACTCTGTGTTCTTAATCATTGTGAAAGTTGGTAATAGAATCGGGTCATTCCTGTCATACCTAACTAAAACAGAGTCAAGAAGCCAGCAGGAAAAAGCAGTCGAGACACCATGTAATTCTCTGCAGGCCTGGCTGCTGAAACTGTCTGCTATAACCTGAAACCAGTTTTATAGTTGCTGAAATGATCTGGTGCAACTTGAAGACAATTGTACCCACCTCCATCACTCGCCAATCAAAACTTGCCAGCACCTCAGAAACTTATTAGTGCCAATGAACTTCTTCAAATAGCAATAGGCAACATTTCTCTCTTTTTAGAAAACCTCCAACCTTCTCTTTGTATTTTGGACATACTGAATACCATCTGGTCTGCGTGTATGCCTCAAACTGGAATTCTTTCTTCTCAAATAAAACGTGAAATATAGACATTCATCTCTACATTTTTATTTTGACTTTAGTAGTCACTATCTATATTACCCATTTAAGAAGGCAAAACAAAAACAAAAACGAAAGCCAACAAAAACTCCAAAACAAAATATATCATCCGAAAATATCTATTTTCCAGGACATTTCAGAAAAGGAGACTAAATACTGCAAACTAATATGAGACTGGACTCAATGTAAAGGCAGAATCACCTCATGGTTCTTATCCATATGTGCCAAGAATGATCTCATTTAATCCTCACCCTATTGAAGGCTGATTTAGTAGCTTCTTTGCTAAATATTTACATGCCAAAGGGAATCATCCTTTAACTATTGGCATCTACTTTGAGACTCGGGAGACAAGAGGTCCACACTGAAACAGCTTTTGACTGTTAACTCTGTGTCTGCCTAGATGAAAACGGACATTGCTGGTTCCTACCAGAATCGATTAGAAAGTATTAACTTAGGAGTTTGGAGCCTAAATTTTAATTCTGGCTTTTCCACTGATCACCTGTGTAATTCAGGGCAGGTTGTAACCTTTCTGAATCTATTTTCTACCTTTTTCATGTTTTCTTGAGGTCCAAATGAAATAGCTGTAAAAGAAACTATAAAGTGCTGGAAAACTGTAAATTAATATGACAGATTTTTTGGTATTTTGTATTATTATTATTTTTGGGGGGACCGATGAGGACCTTGTGGTCCAGGCTGGAGTGCAATTGTTGCTCACTGCAACCTTCACCTCCTAGGTTCAAGCAATTCTCCTGCCTCAGCCTCGCCAGTAGCTGGAATTATAGGCATGCCACCATGCCCAGCTAATTATTGTATTTTTAGTAGAGACGGGATTTTACCATGTTGGCCAGACTGGTCTCGAACTCCTGACCTCAGATGATCTACCTTCTTGGGCCTCCCAAAATACTGGGATTACAGGTGTGAGCCCCCGTGCCCAGCCAGATTGTTTAAATAAATATATTAGTTATTATGTGTACTTTAAGGCAATGTGACTACTTGCCACTTTCCCTCCCTGACCTCTGAAGTAAACTTGAGGGCAGGAATCATGTCTTATTCATCTTTGCCTCTTAGCTGGAGTGCAGTGGTGCAATCTTGGGTTACTGCAACCTCTGCCTCAGCCTCCCGGGTTCAAGTGATTCTCGTCCCTCAGCCACTCCGGTAGCTGGGATTATAGGGACATGCCACCACACCTGGCTAATTTTTTCTAATTTTAGTAGAGATGGGGTTTCGCCATGTTGGCCAGGTTGGTGTCAAACTCCTGACCTCAGGTGGTTCACCCGCCTCGACCTTCCAGAGTACTGGGATTACAGGTGCGAGCCACCGTGTCCGACCAATAAACGTTTCTTGAGTGAATAAACAAACATAAGGGATTTTCAAAGGAATTCTGGAGGTTCTATCTCAGCTGAGAAGCGCCCATGGAAGCAAAAGCCATTCGTAGTACCTGCTTCAACCACGTGGTCCATTGTGGGAAACCTTTTGTACACAGCAGTGCTCACCGAGCGGAAGATGAGCAGGGAGGTGAGATTGACATAGCGCATCAGCGTCCTTCTCAGCAGGCGCCCGTGCTCGTCCCTTCCGTGAACACTGCTGGAGATGAGGAACATCAGCCTGTCTGGCCAGGGCAGATTCACAAACTGGTTCCACCATCGGTTCACTACCAGAGTAACATAAAACCCTGCAGAATAATAGGAAATTATAAAGCAGTTTCTTACAGCAGACACTGATGCTTTTAGCCGAATTTTAGCCTTTTTAGACGTTGGGGGTCAAAAATATGTTATTATCCATATCTTCTGATTTTGCGTTCTAGGAAAAAAATGTCATTTGTGCCTGACAATGCCTAAGCACCCTGTTAAGTGTGTATTAGATCTCAAATATTGACTGCAAAATGGAGAGTTAGTGAAGAGAAAGCTTAAATGTCCAATAGCAGATTATGTCCTCAAACTTGTTTGGTGTTAATTTAGCAAAAGCAGCCCTGAAGGCAAACCTTATGGATGATTCTGGTTCTATTGCAAGCAGCAGCTTTTCAGGCATGCCTCTCAGCTTGGAAACACTCCCATGCAGAGTCATCGGTGTCATCCTAATGGAGACAGCTATGTGGCTGCAATCTGCGTGTGACCTATACTTACCAAGCACAAAGGTTACTGGAATTTGTTCAGCATATCTGTCACAGTAAATTGATAATTTTTCAAAGTAACGTTTTTGGGCTCCTGTAAGTAACAATCTGGAGCAAAAATAAAATGCACAGCCCTTTATGATATTATACTTCTGCACCTGCTTTGCAAGTGACATCAAGTGCAAACGATTAAGCACAAATAATCTGTTTTATTTTTGAAGGAGCAATAATTTTTATTTTCTTAAGCTGACGTGTCTCAAAAGCTTTTAAATTGCTTAATGTTTGAAGTGCTAACATCTTGTAAATGTGATTGGCCATTAAATAGTGGGATTCATTAATCATTATTTTATTTTAAAAACTTTATATTTTAAAAGTTTTATATAATTGATTCATTGGACTTAGAGCAAGGTAAGTTACAAAATAGTTCATTTTTGAATTATTCATCAGGAATACCTTTAAAAGAGTGTATTATTATGAATTAACGGTATTAAGTAATTATTAAATAATAACCCTCAATTTGACACCTTGATCTTCCTCCTGAATGTGCTACTTAGCACATTCTTGATTATCATGTGTTATGCTTCAAGGGATACTATACCTCATTTTAAAGCCCAGAATTGTTCGAAGTCTAAAACAAATTTAACAGTGAAAAATGAAAACTTTCATTATTAAATTTAGTCACTCTCTCAAAATTTGTATTATAGATCTAACCCAACCTGCCCCCAAAGCCCATTTTCTGGTATCATTAAACATAAGTGCATTTAATGAGAACATTATTGATTATAGAGAAGAGATTCAGAGTCTGAAGAAATGTTTTATGGCAAACTAATAATAATGACAAAAATATAGGAAGGAAAGCCAAACAGATGAATTCAAATAAATTGATGAGTGTAACTGTTTCAAAGGAAGAAGGAACCCAAGGAAAGGTCCATTATAACAAGCACCAAAGGCTCATTTGGGTCCATAGAACTTTCATAAAGGAAGCAAAGGGATAATGAGATAACAGTAAGCAACCAATTGGATTGCAGATAAAGAGCTGTTGGGAGCTGGTCCTGACAAAGAAGGTATGTGGGGTACAGGGTGAGCTTGGAGTTCCTGCCTCAGCTTTGGAAGAGGTATTAGAATTACTGAAGTCAGGGAAAGCTGACAGGAGAGGTACCAGGTTATTGTAGAGGTCTATCAGGGTAATGCTGATGACAAACTACGGCCAGAATGGTTTCTGATGTTCAAATAGAAATGGTCAAAGAGCCTTTAAATGTGGAAAGCATGGACTTTTTTCAAGATCAGACAAAGCCAGATTTTAATCCCAGGTCTGACACAAATTTGGATTTTGAGAATATTTTTAAATGTCTCTGAGTCTCAGTTTTCTCATCTGTAAGTAGGGGTAGAAAATCTATATGGGGTATTACAAAGATTAAATAACATAATGTGTGTGTATGTGTGTGTGTGTGTGTGTGTGTGTGTGTGTGTGTGTAAAACCACTTAACAAATTGTCTCATACTTAGTTAATAATGAAATGGTTGGTATAAATAATTGGGCAAAGAAAACATCTTTGGCTAATAGACGTAGAAATTTTAATAGCTAGAAAGTATTTCAAAAATTATTTTGTCAAATTCCTCCAAAAATAGAAATGTAATCAAATTAATGAATCTGGTTCCTCCTTATAATTTTTGTTAAGAATAATTATTTACTTATAATAGAGCTAATAAAGACAGAGAATAAAACTACGTCTGTATTTATCTACAGATACGTTTGACTTCCTTGAGAAACTCATCCTATAGCCCTTGGTATACCTTTGATTAGGATATAAAGATCTATTTTAATAAGGTGTTACAATTGAACTTTAGAAAATTAAGGATGACTTGAACTGATAATTTTTGAAATAAATGTAAGCACTCTTTGCTTTAGAAGAAATATATGCATAAAATTTTGGGGGGTATAAGTATGATATTGGAACAAAAGTTGAGGCCCAAAGGAGCATTTCTAGCTACATTGCAACTGTGCTAAGGGCTATTCTATTCTATTTTTAGCAGCAATAGCTGCAATACATTTGCATGAGTAAAAATGAACTAATGAGATAATTATCATGAAACACCATTGTATCTTCCATCATTTCATATTCTGAAGGCTTAGGTGATACATACCTAAATTGCCAAAATAATATCATATTATATGATATGTCTGAAAAATTATGAGAGGTTTTTAATAAGATTTTCCCTCTAAAAATATTTTGTCAAAATATATACCAATGTGTACAATTGCTCAGAAGGGTTGTTTTGATGCACAGAAAAATAGCTCTACCTATTTTATTTTAATAATTGTCAGTCAACTCAATTAGTATCCTTTTTTACCAAAGGAGATCCTATGGCTACAAGGAAGAATGTGAGAGCAATACAACACAATTTTGTTTATCTATATGCAGAAGAAAAATAACAAACTTACGTATGTAGAAAAAGGAAATACAGTCTCAAAAACCTTTAGTTTTCCTGTTTTAAGTTTTAGCGTCCTCCAGAGAATAAATTTATGCATTAAATTTTAATTAAAAAAGCTTTAAAAGCTCATAAAGCTCTCCTTTTATCATACCAATAGAATTTTATTAACACTATAATTTTTCATCATTAAACTATTTCTTGGACTTGATATTGCTCACATTTCCTGCCAATTTGACAGGCATATGTTGTGATGTTATAAAGAATAAGCACCTCTTTTCCTGAACATAACATGCCCTCAACTCAGAAGATATAAAGAAAATAAATTAGTCTACAGGAATTTCCTTTAGTTGAGGTACTGTTAAGGGTGGCAGGCATCATCCTGGGTAAGATATTTTCATTCCAGGCAAAAGGAAGGAAAGCTTTCACCTGAAATACACCAATCATGACCATGTTCATTATATAAGTACTGGCTATAAGTTGTCAAATCACAAACTATGAATGACAAGTGGATAGAAGCACCAATAATTATTTGCCTGTGGACTCTGCCCATTCAAAAATCTTTATGTAGTAAGGATCTAAGGAGAATCCTTCCATTTTATGCCTATTGCAACAGTCTTGAAGCACAGCTGGGGCTGGCATGAAGGCTACCTGAATCTTACAGTAAGAGTCTATTTTACATCCTAACAATGGTTAACTGTGGATTAAAATCTGTCCTGAAGGGAAGAAGACAAAAGAGAGGCTCATGAAAAAAAGAAGTTGTATAATGCAGAGTCAGTGGCAATAAAAGGGTTCAGATTTTTGACACTGTATTTTTATACAATATTTGATTGCCATTTAAGAAGACATGCAAAGAAAAGTACCTGTACACCAAACTTATTGCTGTGTAAAGAACAGCAAAGACAATAAATTCCCTGTACAGTAGTTTGTAGATGCTGCCTCTCCACTTGAAGAGTAACCTATGAAATCCAAAAAAAGTTGCATTTGCTACTTTACTGGAGTAAGTGACAGTCATCTTGGATATTTTTTTCTAGAAGAGCAAGAAGACAAAACACAAGTAAAAAGCAATGTTTAAAATAGGGCATAAATCTGTATGTCTGTATATCAAGGAAACTCAAGTCAGCAACTAGTCAGCCATATCTTTTTTTTGTCTTTCTTAGTTTCTGTAATTTGAAACTTTCAGATAACTGTTATCTCAGTGCTAGATCATTTAGCAGAAAGCAGGAAGAAAGGAGTTTCTGGAAAGAGTAATATTAGACATCTTAAACTTGCCTTAACTGTTAAATGTTATTTTTAGATTATATAGCCATTGGTCAATATATATTTGAATGAACAAATGAGACAAACAAGGCCCTCGTGGGAATTTAATTGATGGGCACTTTTGATGGGTTTGGTTGCATGTAGGTGTCTTGCTACTGGAGGTCCGATTGTTAGCACTCATTGCATTTCAAAAGGTAGCCAAAAAGTTGGGTCATAGTCATAAATAAGAATAGTGCACTTTCCCCATGAAAAGTTGTACAGAAATGCTCAGGGATGGTTCACATTCTATTTGGAGCTGAACAAAATAAGGTCATTATTTATGACTCTTTCTACTTGAGTCCATTTCATGAATGTGGTTAGGATGAGCACTGGGCCCCAAAGCCTTGTTTTCAATGAGTTCTTTGGAATTACACCACTTTCCACCAAGACATTAAATATTCACGGTTTGAAACAGACAGCACAAAGCTAATCTTTGAAAATCCTGCTCAATTTCTGGCTAAGATAGAACATATGCAAATAAAATGAGATTTATTTAAAATCTTACTTTTCTCAAAAGGATCTATGTGGAGAGTCTTATAGAGCTACTTACACTGAAATTACGAAGATTTTAGGTAGAATTGTACTAAATACAAAAAATAAATTCTACAGCAGATTTCTTTTGGGAAGTAACCTACACCACATATTTTATCACAAGAAAATTTTCTGTCTTTACTCATTGCTGGAAAAACAATTCAACTCTGATTTGCCCATTTTCCCTAAGGAAATGGAACTCTGGAGCTGCATTTACAGCATTTTCTAAAATCACAAACTTAGCTTTCAATATTACTGATTTTAATAAAGAAGCCAGGGCCTTTTGGCATAAGTAAGTGGCATTACGAAAGGATGGGATTCATGCCACAAAACCGGTTTTATTTTTCCATCTTTACCTTGTCTATTTGTCTAGTGTGAATACAGCCAAAATTGGGAGAGGAGCGTAATAAATTAAGCCCATTTCATAGTTTGTTCTCGTGGACTCCAGTAGTTTTAAATAACAGTCCTTGAATACCTTTCTCTTCTTTCATTTAGTAGTTCACTCTTCTTTTTAAGATCTGCCAGGAAAATGAAAATCACAGCAAGTAGAGGTCAGAATTAAAATGCATAGGTTTACTCTGGGCACTAACCTATTTATTTGGTTTGGAGTCTCCACCAGGAAAGATAATCTTCAAATTTCGGGCTCCCCCTGAAGAGGCGCCTTCAGGCTGGTGCTGCGCTCCCGGTGTCACCCTTTGCCCATCCACAGTCAGATTTTCTTTCTGTTCTCTGGCCACTGAGAGGACCCAGAGTGTGACAAGTACAGGGGTTAAGTGTTTTTCCACTTGTGGAGGCCTGTTTATGCCAATTTACCCACTGATGACAGTTACAGCCAGGAACAAACAGAAGTGACAGCTGCTGATGCTGCTTTTTTCTAAGCTATAATTATAACTCCACCTGCCACCCCCAGTACCTCTTTGAATGAGAAGTTGGCAGTGACATGAGGGATGTTGTCTGTTAGATTCATTTTGACTCCACCCTGGGATCAAGGAAGAAAGGTCCATTTGACCCTAAAGAGTTCAAAAAGAGGCCCCATTAGCCAAAAACAAAACAAAACAAAACAAAACAAAAAAACACAACAATAAAAAAACTTTCTGTGCTTTAAATGAAGATTACATTCTTAAAGCTGGGTGGGATGTGGTGGCTCACACCTGTAATTCTAGCACTTTGGGAAGTCGAGGCAGGCGGCTCATCTGAAGTCAGGAGTTCAAGACCAGCCTGGCCAATATGGTGAAACCCCATCTCTACTAAAAATACAAAAATTAGGTGGGCCTGGTGGTGGGCTTCTGTAATCCCAGCTACTCAGGAGGTTGGGGCTGGAGAATCACTGGGACCCAGGAGGTAGAGGCTGCAGTGAGCCGAGATCACCCCATTGCACTCTAACCTGGGCACCAGAGCAAGACTCTGGCTCATAAAAAAACAAAAAAATATTTTATGAAGCCATAAACTGGGGCAGACAAGAATATAAACAGGATTTTTGCCCACTTGAGAGGTATTGAAAATGTTCTTCAATTCAAAGCACAAATTATGCATTAGTGTGTGTATGTTAGAAGAGCATATAGAGAATCATGATATGTTGATGGCTTAGTATAGTGGGAAATAACACATGGATTCATCATATATATATATATACGTATATATATGCACATATTTTTTTTTAGATGGAGTCTTGCTCTGTCACCCAGGCTGGAGTGCTGTGGCACGATCTCAACTCGCTGCAACCTCGCTTCTGGGGTTCAAGTGATTTTCCTGCCTCAGCCTCCCAAGTAGATGGGATTACAGGTGCACACCACACAACTGGCTAATTTTTTATATTTTTGGTATAAATGGGGTTTTACCATGTTGGCCAGGCTGGTCTTGAACTCCTGACCTCAAGTAATCCACCTGCCTTGGCCTTCCAAACTGCTGGGGTTACAGGCGTGAGCCACTGCACCCAGCCAGATTCATCACATTAGTTATTCTTTGATGGTTAGTTAGGAAATTTTAAAAATTATTCAATGTTTTCTCTTAGTTTGATTATGCCTACATATTTTCTTTCTTAAAAGAGAGAATTTGCCAGCATTCTTTAAGTAATAAATAATTTCTTGGGACTTTTCAAACTTTCTAAAGTAACTTATGCACCCCTGAAACTTAACTTAAAGAAAATGTATTTTTGTGGAGAAAGATATAGAAAAAAATGCTTATTCTAAAATTGAGGTTACGTAAAATTAACCTTTTTCTAAAGTATTCCGTTTTATATGCATTTGGCTGGATTCTTTATCAAATTCTACGTACCTTAGAGCAAAGCTAGGGTTGTAGGTGTCTTCTTAATTTCTTGCCCCACCCCTGCTCATAGTTCCAATATGGAGCCCTGTGAATAATGAATATTCAGTATGTATTTGCTGTTTGATTATCCCTTACCTTCACTATTATAATTCTGTTGTTATTTAAGGGAATTTGTGAACATTTAAAAAGCATATATACAATGTTGTACATCTTTTGTGTTGTCATGAAAGTGGTCTGATAGATCTGATATTATATTTATTTATTTATCTTTAAAATTTATTTGTTTATTTATTTTTTCCCCCATTTATTTTATTGCATTTTAGGTTTTGGTGTACATGTGAAGAACATGCGAAATTGTTGCACAGGTACACACGTGGCAGTGTGATTTGCTGCCTTCCTCCCCATCACCTACATCTGGCATTTCTCCCTTTGCTATCTCTCCCCAGCTCCCCACCCCCCACCGTCCCTCCCCTATTTCCCCCCAACTGACCCCAGTGTGTAGTGCTCCCCTCCCTGTGTCCATGTGTTCTCATTGTTTAACACCCGCCTATGAGTGAGAACATGCGGTGTTTGATCTTCTGCTCTTCTGTCAGTTTGCTGAGAATGATGGTTTCCAGGTTCATCCATGTCCCTACAAAGGACCCAAACTCATCGTTTTTGATGGCTGCATAATATTCCATGGTGTATATGTGCCACATTTTCCTTGTCCAGTCTATCGTCGATGGGCATTTGGGTTGGTTCCAGGTCTTTGCTATTGTAAACAGTGCTGCAATGAACATTCGTGTGCACGTGTCCTTATAGTGGAACGATTTGTAATAATCCTTTGGATATATACCCAGTAATGGGATTGCTGGCTCAAATGGAATTTCTATTTCTAGGTCCTTGAGGAATCGCCACACTGTCTTCCACGATGGTTGAACTAATTTACACTCCCACCAACAGTGTAAAAGTGTTTCTATTTCTCCATATCCTCTCCAGCATCTGTTGTCTCCAGATTTTTTAATGATCACCATTCTATCTGGCGTGAGATGGTATCTCAATGTTGTTTTGATTTGCATTTCTCTGATGACCAGTGATGATGAGCATTTTTTCATATGTTTGTTGGCCTGATGTATGTCTTCTTTTGCAAAGTGTCTGTTCATATCCTTTGCCCACTTTTGAATGGGCTTGTTAGTTTTTTTCTTGTAAGTCTGTTTTAGTTCTTTGTAAATTCTGGATATCAGCCCTTTGTCAGATGGGTAAACTGCAAAAATTTTTTCCCATTCTGCTGGTTGCCGATTCACTCTAATAACTGTTTCTTTTGCTGTGCAGAAGCTGTGGTGTTTGATTAGGTCCCATTTTGTTGTCAATGCTTTTGGTGTTTTGGTCATGAAGTCCTTGCCTACACCTATGTCCTGAATGGTTTTGCCTAGATTTTCTTCTAGGGTTTTTATGGTGTTAGGTCTTATGTTTAAGTCTTTAATCCATCTGGAGTTAATTTTAGTGTAAGGTGTCAGGAAGGAATCCAGTTTCTGCTTTCTGCACATGGCTAGCCAGCTTTCCCAACACCATTTATTGAACAGGGAATCCTTTCCCCATTGCTTGTTTTTGTCTGGTTTGTCAAAGATCAGATGGTTGTAGATATGTTGTGTTGCCTCCGAGACCTCTGTTCTGTTCCATTGGTCTATATCTCTGTTTTGGTACCAGTACCATGCTGTTTTGATTACTGTAGCCCTGTAGTATAGTTTGAAGTCCGGTAGTGTGATGCCTCCCACTTTGTTCTTTTTGCTTAGAATTGACTTGGCTATGCGGGCTCTCTTTTGGTTCCATATGAAGTTTAAGGTGATTTTTTCCAGTTCTGTGAAGAAGGTCATTGGTAGCTTGATGGGGATAGCATTGAATGTGTAAATTACTTTGGGCAGTATGGCCATTTTCACGATGTTGATTCTTCCTAACCATGAACATGGAATGTTTCTCCATCTGTTTGTGTCCTCTCTTATTTCGTTGAGCAGTGGCTTGTAGTTCTCCTTGAAGAGGTCCTTTACATTCCTTGTTAGTTGTATTCCTAGGAATTTTATTCTCCTTGTGGCAATTGTGAATGGAAGTTTGTTCTTGATTTGGCTCTCTTTAAGTCTGTTATTGGTGTATAGGAATGCATGTGATTTTTGCACATTGATTTTGTATGCTGAGACTTTGCTGAACTTGCTTATCAGTTGGGGCTGAGATGATGGGGTCTTCTAGATATACAATCATGTCATCTGCAAATAGAGACAATTTGACTTCCTCCTTTCCTATTTGAATGCCCTTTATTTCTTTTTCTTGCCTGATTGCTCTGGCTAGAACTTCTAATACTATATTGAATAGCAGTGGTGAGAGAGGGCATCCTTGTCTGGTGTCACATTTCAAGGGGAATCCTTCTAGTTTTTGCCCATTCAGTATGATATTGGCTGTTGGTTTGTCATAAATAGCTTTTATTATTTTGAGATACGTTCCATCGATACCTAGCTTATTGAGTGTTTTTAACATAAAGGGCTGTTGAATTTGGTCAAAGGCCTTCTCTGCATCAATTGAGATAATCATGTGGTTTTTGTCTTTGGTTCTGTTTATGTGGTGAATTACGTTTATAGACTTGCGTATGCTGAACCAGCCTTGCATCCCCGGGATGAAGCCTACTTGATCATGGTGGATAAGCTTTTTGATGTGCTCTTGCAGTCGGCTTGTCAGTATTTTATTGAAGATTTTTGCATCTATGTTCATCATGGATATTGGCCTGAAGTTTTCTTTTCTTGTTGAGTCTCTGCCGGGTTTTGGAATCAGGATGATGTTGGTCTCATAGAATGATTTGGGAAGAATTACCTCTTTTTGTATTGTTTGGAATAGTTTCAGAAGGAATGGTACCAGCTCCTCTTTGTATGTCTGGTAGAATTCTGCTGTAAACCCGTCTGGACCTGGGCTTTTTTTGGGTGGTAAGCTCTTAATTGCTGCCTCAACTTCAGACCTTGTTATGGGTCTGTTCAGGGTTTCAGCTTCTTCCTGGTTTAGGCTTGGGAGGAGGCAAGTGTCCAGGAATTTATCCATTTCTTCCAGGTTTATTAGTTTATGTGCATAGAGTTGTTTGTAATAATCTCTGATGATGGTTTGAATTTCTGTGGAATCTGTGGTGATATCCCCTTTGTCTTTTTTTATTGCATCAATTTGCTTATTCTCTCTTTTCTTTTTTATTAATCTGGCTAGTGGTCTGTCTATTTTGTTGATCTTTTCAAAAAACCAGCTCCTGGATTTACTGATTTTTTGAAGGGTTTTTTTGTGTCTCTATCTCCTTCAGTTCTGCTCTGATCTTAGCTATTTCTTGTCTTCTGCTAGACTTTGAGGTTTTTTGATCTTGCTCCTCTAGCTCTTTCAGTTTTGACGATAGGGTGTCAATTTTAGATCTCTCCTTGCTTCTCATGTGGGCACTTATTGCTATATATTTTCCTCTAGAGACTGCTTTAAATGTGTCCCAGAGATTCTGGTATGTTGTGTCTTCATTCTTGTTGGTTTCAAAGAACATCTTTATTTCTGTCTTCATTTCATTGTTTATCCAGTCAACATTCAAGAGCAAGTTGTTCAGTTTCCATGAAGCTGTGCGGTTCTGGGTTAGTTTTTGAATTCTGAGTTCTAACTTGATTGCACTGTGGTCTGAGACTGTTTGTTATGATTTCCATTCTTTTGCATTTGCTGAGGAGTGATTTACTCCCAATTATGTGGTCAATTTTAGAGTAGGTGTGATGTGGTGCTGAGAAGAATGTATATTCTGTGGATTTGGGGTGGAGAGTTCTGTAAATGTCTATTAGGTTTGCTTGGTCCAGGTCTGAGTTCAAGTCCTGGATATCCTTGTTAATTTTCTGTCTGGTTGATCTGTCTAATATTGACAATGGGGTGTTAAAGTCTCCCACTATTATTGTGTGGGAGTCTAAATCTCTTTGTAAGTCATTAAGAACTTGCCTTATGTATCTGGGTGCTCCTGTATTGGGTGCGTATATATTTAGGATCGTTAGCTCTTCTTGTTGCATTGATCCTTTTACCATTATGTAATGTCCTTCTTTGTCTCTTTTGATCTTTGTTGCTTTAAAGTCTAATTGATCAGAGATGAGAATTGCAACTCCTGCTTTTTTTTGCTCTCCATTTGCTTGGTAAATCTTCCTCCATCCCTTTATTTTGAGCCTTTGTGTATCCTTGCATGTGAGATAGGTTTCCTGGATACAGCACACTGATGGGTTTTGTCTTTTTATCCAATTTGCCAGTCTGTGTCTTTTGATTGGGGCATTTAGTCCATTTACATTTAGGGTTAATATTGTTATGTGCGAATTTGATACTGCCATTTTGGTGCTAGCTGGGTATTTTGCCCTTTAGTTGAGCTGGTACTTGTTGTTCCTTTATATGTGTAGAGCCTCTTTCAGGAGCTCTTGTAGAGCTGGCCTGGTGGTGACGAAATCTCTGAGTACTTGCATGTTCCCAAAGGATTTTATTTTTCCTTCACTTATGAAGCTTAGTTTGGCTGGATAGGAGATTCTGGGTTGAAAGTTCTTTTCTTTAAGGATGTTGAATATTGGCCCCCACTCTTTTCTGGCTTGCAGGATTTCTGCTGAGAGATCTGCTGTGAGTCTGATGGGTTTCCCTTTGTGGGTAACCCGACCTTTCTCTCTGGCTGCCCTTAGTATTTTCTCCTTCATTTCAACCCTGGTGAATCTGACGATTATGTGCCTTGGGGTTGCTCTTCTTGACGAATATCTTTGTGGTGTTCTTTGTATTTCCTGGACTTGAATGTTTGCCTGCCTTGCTAGGTTGGGGAAGTTTTCCTGGATAATATCCTGAAGAGTGTTTTCCAGCTTGGATTCATTCTTTTCGTCGCATTCAGGTACGCCTATCAAACGTAGATTAGGTCTCTTCACATAGTCCCACATTTCTTGGAGATTTTGTTCATTCCTTTTTACCCTTTTTTCTCCAGTCTTGCCTTCCCGTTTTATTTCGTTGAGTTGGTCTTCAACCTCTGATATCCTTTCTTCTGCTTGGTCAATTCGGCTGTTGATACTTGCGCATGCTTCGCGAAGTTCTCGTGTTGCGTTTTTCAGCTCCATCAATTCACTTATATTCCTTTCTATTTTGTCCATTCTCGTTAGCATTTCATCAAATCTTTTTTCAAGGTTCTTAGTTTCTTTGCATTTGGTTAGAACATGTTCTTTAAGTTCACAGAAGTTTCTTACTACCCACCTTCTGAAGTCTGATTCTGTCATTTCATCACACTCGTTCTCCGTCCAACCTTGTTCCCTTGCTGGTGAGGAGTTGTGATCCCTTGTAGGAGGAGAGGTGTTCTGGTTTCGGGTGTTTTCATCCTTTTTGCGCTGGTTTCTTCCCATCTTTAAGGATTTATCCACCTGTCGACTTTGTAGTTGCTGGCTTTCAGATTGGGTCTCAAATCTTTCAGATTGACGTTCTGTTTGTTGATGATGAGGTTATTTCAGTTTCTTGGTTTTCCTTCTGACAGTCTGGCCCCTCTGCTGTAGGTCTGCTGAGGTTCACTCCAGGCCCTGCTTCTCTGGGGTTCACCTGCAGCAGCTGCTGAACAGTAAGGGTTGTTTCCAGTTTTCTTCTTCTGCTATCTTTGTCCCAGAAGGATACCCGCCTAGTGTCAATCTGATCTCTCCTTTATGAGGTGGCTCTTTGGATATATAGGGGTCAGGGAGCTGCTTGAGGAGACGGTCTCTTCTTTATAGGAGCTCAAATGGTGAGCTGTGAGCTCTGTTGTTCATTCAGAGCTGCTGGGCTGGTATGTTTAGGTCTGCTGCAGCAGAACTCATAAACTGCTTTTTGTTCCCAGGTTCTCTGTCCCAGGGATTTAGGGCTTTATGAGTTTCGGTTATGCTGCTGCCTTCTCTCTTTTTTTTTTTTTTTCCTTCAGAGCTGCCCTGCCCAGCAAGGAGGCAGCCTAGTCACTGTCTGCCTGTAGAGGCTTTGTTGAGCTCCTGTGGGCTCCGCCCAGCTGCCGAGTGAACTTCCCTGCAGTCCTGTTTATATGGGTGTAGTTAGAGCTGCCTCGGCGATGGTGGCCCTCCTCTATCGAGGCGGAGTCTCTCTGTACCTGGCGGGTTGCCTTGGCAACGGCGGGCTGCCTCAGCATTGGTTGACTACCTCTGTAGTGGCGGGCTGCCTCGGTAATGGCGTAATGGTGGACGCCCCTCCCCCACAGAGCTGGACTGTCCAGGGTTCAGCTGCACTTGCTGTGAAACTCTCAATCCAGAGTTTCTGATTGCTGTTCTTTTGTGGGGGTGGGACCAGCCGAGCCTGATCGCCTGGCTCCCTGCCTCAGAGCCTTTTTTAAGTTGGTGTTCCAGTCGCCTGTTGAAGAGGCACTGGGGTCTGTTTGTTTTCCCCTGCGGCCACTCACTGCGCTGGCTTAAACAGTGGCACTGAGGTTTGTGGCACTTTTTTTTTTTTGCCCTGGAATCTACTGTCCTGGTTCCCTGCTCAGTTCCCTTTTTAAAGAGATGAATGGGCGACTTCCCGTGGCTCCAATCACCAGCCAAAAGGGCCCCCGGACCGGTGTATTTTGTACGGAGAACCGCTGCTCCCGGGCACTGACAAAGCAGCCGCGCAGGGCAAAGCAGCGGCGCCGCCGGCACAGCCACGCTGGCCGAAACAGCCGTGCTGGTGACCTGTGGAGCTCCTCCGCCTGGGAATTTCCTAGTCTGTGGGCAATAAAAATCCAGCGTCCACTCACCCTCTGCGCTTTCACTGGGAGCTGCAATCCCGAGCTGTTCCTAAATGGCCATCTTGGATCCTCCTCCTCTGATGTTATATTTATAAAAGTTTGCAAGACAAATCAATGTTACCAAATTGGAGCAAATCTAAACCCAAATGCTGATGAAATAGAAACATTGGAGGTATTTTGTAAAATCCTCACTCTTGCATCTCCTGTTGGATGTGTGATAGCCCTGACAGCTGGTATAATTCCCAGCAGCCATGACTACATAGCTAGGGGATCTGCCTCTGTGGAGCACTGTATGCACTGTTGGTTGGCTTCATTTTTAAACAGGGATAATTATGTTCCTCTCTCCCATTGGGTTGTTTTGAGGAACGACTAATTAATAGTTGGAGATAGCATTCTAAATGCAAATTAGTCAATAAGGATCAGATTGAACGAAAAAACTCCCATTGTTGAGCTCTGAATCTGGTGGTTATTTCTAACAGGTACTGAAAGGCCTTGTAGAAATAGCCTCACTTAGAGGAGAAAAGACACTAAAGCTTATTTCAAAATATCCAACAAACACCAGTTTGCAAAGTTTATGGTTCATATTACTTTTTAAAGAGAATTTTAAAGTTTCTTCAAAGAAATATTTTTTCCAGGTTCTAAAAGTATAATATTATTAAAAAATAGAAAGAAAAACAACATATAATAAAGAAAGTGTCACTCTATCCTGCTGCAGTAGAGGGGTGGTATCATTTGGGATAAAGTTAATCTTGCTAGACTTTTGTGGAAAATATTTTAACCCTATAATTAATAGCAAACAATATGATAGACCCTTAGGCAGTTTCAGGGCTCTATGAAATAACTATACCAGCCATATTTTCCCATGACAGTAAACATCAAGTTATGTGATTTTTGACCACTCTGATTTTCAGCAGCCCAAAGAAACATATTTGTCTTTGCTAAACCTCCAATGACAGGACAATTCATAGAAAAGAACAAGTGATCATTTCCACTTCGAATCCTGATATTCACCCATAGATGTCAAAATAAATCTCTTTGTTCTTTAAGGAAACAGGATATAATAACAACAATAAAAAGTTTGTGTAGCCAATACCACCTCCTACATGAGAAGCAGCTATTTAAAAAGTCCTGCATTCGTTTTAAATGGATTTGTTACTCCATTGACATGAGAAACCTCTTATCAAATTTCTTCTGAGTGATTAGTTGAACATAGTCATGTGTAGACAACACGTGTATTCAGATATTAACCAAAAACCAGACATTGTATTTTGGAGGATTTGACTCTGAACCTAAGACTTTGGGAGATTATTAAGTGGGGAATAATGAATCAATAAATGCTTTTGATGGAAAAAGGGTTTGAAAAAAATCTATGCTGCAGAAAGGTGGGTCTATGGGAAGAGTGTGTGATGAATTGGAGTAGGCAGGGACTACAGAAGGAGAATCAATTTGAAGGTTATTTTGGTTGTTCTGGAATAAACTGGGATGGTGGGTGGCTGGAATGCAGAGGAAGGATGATGGAAGAGAGCCCAAGGGATAGCTACTACTGCAGGGAGGAGAAGAAGAGTAGGGGGAGGTGAGAGCAGGAAGAGGAGGAGGAGGAGGAAAGAGAAGTCTCATAGGACTCTTCCTGTGTCCTTTGAGCCTGTTTGTTCATGAAGAATAAACATTACGGAACATGATTCTCAAATTTGTTCAGGTATGCTGTTCGTGATGTGCCGTGAACTTTTGATATGTTTTCTTTTATCCTGCAAATAGAAACATTCTACCAGCAAAAATCGATGCAAAGTCAAGTCACAAGTGGGAGCCCATGTGCGCATAAAAAATAAAAGTTGTTGAATTAAGTACGATGAGCCTGTGGTCGGTTTTCCTGTTAATACTCCTTTCTGAAACTTATGTTGCTATGTGCTGGATCTCTCTAGAAAAAAGATAGTAAACAGTGCTAAAAGTTCAAGAAAAATTCAGACTAAAACATAGAAAACAGTCCAATTTTTTTTTTCACAGCAGAATACACTGGTTTGTTTAGTTTCAGAACTGATTATAGTGATCATTTTTTCCTACAGGTAAATTTTTACTGGCCAAGTTGGATGGTGAGCTTCTTGAGAGCTCATCCTACTCTTTCTTGTTTGTGTGTGTGTGTGTGTGTGTGTGTGTGTGTGTGTGTGTGCTATTTACTGGCTGCAACAGTGGATCGAACAGCTGCATAACAAGCACTGTTTGGGGTAAATCATGTGGCATTCCAGATGTGCAGAGGTTTCTGTACGTGTCATTGGACGTAGAACTCTGCCAAAAATCAAACCAAAGAGGGTGGAAAACCTCTTCAATTAATTTATTATCTTTGAATTCAGGGGAGATATAGTGAGCTCTTCAGACCAGAAAGACTGAGTTTTATTACAGCTGAAGCTCTAAGCTCATAAGAGACTGGATATTTGAGGAGTCATCATTACTTTCCTAGCATAGAGTAATTGCTAACTCAACAAAACAGAAATGCATTAGTTCAAATTTTGAAGGTCATCTGTGTCTAATGGAAGGTATGGAAATTTTGTTCTATTTTAGAGATGAAAGCTTAGAGTCTAAAAAATTATTATGGTGCTGAATGTGTATCCTGTACTCTATAATCGATGACATTTTTTAAGTGAATGATATTGTTCATCTCAAATATATTCCAGATTGCTAAAGAAAAAAAAATTCAACATAGAATCAATTAAAAATCAGTTTAATATTGCAAGAAAAGGCACACAAATCCAAGAATATTGTTTATTCCAAACGGTTGTGAAATTCTATTACTTTACCACTGTGATTGTAGAAGGTAGAAATATATTACTGTGTGGGTAAAGGAAAGATGTAGGTAAATAGAAAAATGCTGTGCATAAATATGTGGGTAATTTTAAGATATCTTTTCTCGTGTAGTAAAATGGATGTGGAAATGAAAAACCCATATTGGTTCTGGTTTTCTAATATGGCATATTGAGCATTCTTCAGACATCACTTCAGGCTCTTAACATATAATAGCTCCTTAATAGTGGTTACTGCTGGGAAGAGTAGTAGGTTTGGGAAGAAGAAAACTTCAAGTTTTACTTCATATAATTTTATATTTTTAAAAATAACATCTGTATTTTAATATTTAATCATATGCAATAAAAATCAGATTTAATGCCACTTCCAGATTCATACCTCCAGCTCAGATCTTCCACCCAGCTCCAGACTTACCTTGATATTCCCATACACATGTCAAACCCAACATGCCCCAAATGGAACTCCTGGTCTTTTCCCACAAACATACTCCATCTGTAACCTTTCCCATCTCCACTGATAACATTCCTTCCTTCCAGAAGACCTAAAACCTTGGAGTCATCTTCAGCTCCTCTCTTTCTCTCATACTGCAATCCAGTCTTTCAGCAAATCTTATTGGCTCCACTTTGAAATATACTCAGAATCTGTCATCTCACTATCGCAGACAGGGAGCGATCTCCACTGCCCCTACTCTTCAGAACCCCCATTGTGGTTCTCCTGGGTCACTCCAGCAGAGTCCCACAGGTCTCCCAGTGTTTGCATTTGCTCCCTGCAGTCTGTTCTGGCACAAAGGCAGAATAATCTTATTAAAAGAAAATTCAGGTAAGCCATGTCACTCCTGCTCAAAACCCTTCATTCACTCCCTGCTCTTCTCATAGGAAAAGCCTAGGTCCTTCAATAGCAGCCAAGGTCTTACATGACGTGCTCTCATTTCCTCCCTGGTCTCATTTCCTATTACTTTCACCTGTGGACTCATCTCTAGTTGCATTTTTCTCCTTTCTTTCTTCGAACACACGG